GGTTGGGTCTGAGGCAGGGCCTGGGTATGAGCCTTGGCCTCGGGTTGGGTCTGAGGCAGGACCTGGGAATGAACCTGAGCCTGGGAATGGGCATGAGCCTGGGCCTGGGCTGCGGACTGAGGCTAGCCTTGGGAATGGGCCTGGGAATGGACCTGTGCTTGGGCCTGGGACTGAGCCTGGGCTTGGGGTTGGGTCTGTGGCACCACCTAGGAATGAGCCTGAGCCTGGGAATGGGCATGAGCCAGGGCCTGGACTTAGGACTGAGGCTAGGCCTGGGAATGGGCCTGAGGTTGGGCGTTGGCTTGGGCCTGGGGCAGGGACGCTCTCCTGGGCCCTGTACCCTGGGTGCCCCCAGGCTTGGTGGCGGCTGCAGTCGGTGGTGGGTTCTGCTGCGGGGATGATTCCTGAGAGGACTGGAAGAGGGGCACTCCGGAACCCTCGGTGCTGCGGGAACATGGCGCTGCTGTGGCTGGCCCTGGGGAGGGTGGGCCCAACGGAGGCTCCCTGGCCATGGCCTCCGGATAGTTGCCGCAGTTGCTGCCGAGACTCTTTGGCCCTGCGGTTCTTGAACCACACCTAGGGAGACAGAGGGGACAGGAAGGACGTGAGAGAAGCTAGGGGACAGGGCCAGTCCCAGGCCCCTCCCTCCATCCCAGAACCGATAAGAAGCCCTGGGGTCCTCGACTGGCAGGTGAGGGGAGTAGTGCGTGGCGGGAGCAGGAAGGGCGGAGAGGAAAGGGGGTGGGGGCAAGAGAGGCAGGCTTTGCGCCCAGGGCCTGGGGATGCTTTGCCAAAGAGGTTCCTTGGGGCCCCAGAGGAGCTCTGAGGTCCACGCACTGGACCGGGTGTGTGTGTGACGGGGCGCAGTTAGCGGGTTTGTGCCACTACAGCTGAATCTGGACAAGGCATGCAGCCCTGGGTCCGCACCGGCGGGATCCCTTCGCTGTCTATGGCTGGGAAGGGAGTGGGGGCCTGGGCACCTTCGGGTTCCTCGCCTGGGTGGGAGGCACCCGGAGAGTGACAATGGGAGGGAGCTGCTCTTGTCATTACGGGGAGGGGGGACCCAGAGAGGGTGGAGGCGGGGCAGACCTGCACTTGGTGCTCCTGCAGGTTGAGTCGTTCTGCCAGGATTTGGCGTTCCTCGTGGGTGGGGTACTTATTCATCTTAAAGTGTTTTTCTAGCTTGTTCTGCTGTTCTTTGGTGTAGACAGTACGCTCCTGTCGCTGCCTCCTCGGGGTGTCTGAGGGCAGTGGGACGCCTTAGGGAGGGAGGGAAACAGGGTCAGATGAATCCCAAGGCAGCCCACAGCCCCCTAGGGACTCCCTCCCCTGGGCCAGGCAAGCTGCTCAGGCCCTAAGATGGGAGGCAGCCCTGGGTGGCAGTGGCTACCAGGACCAGAGGACCTGTGTCAGACCCAGCTCTCTACCTCCCAGCCCAGACCCTGCACCTCTCTGGGATCAGGGTCCACACCTGTGTTGTTGGGGAAGGCCAGCTGGTGGGCTCCTCACCCCAGGAGCTCAGGCTGTGCCTCAGGCCTGCTCTGCTCTCCTCCAGATACACCTCCTGTCCAAGGGCTCAGGGACCCTGACTTTTTTTTTTGGAGACAGAGCCTCAAGCTGTTGCCCTGGGTAGAGAGCTGTGACATCACAGCTCACAGCAACCTCCAACTCCTGGGTTCAAGTGATTCTCCTGCCTCTGCCTCTCAAGTAGCTGGGACCACAGGCCCAGCTGGCTATTTTTTGGTTGTAGCCGTTGTTGTTGTTTGGCGGGCTGGGCTGTATTTGAACCCACCAGCTCAGGTGTATGTGGCTGGCGCCTTAGGCACTTGAGCCACAGGCACCGAGCCAAGGGACCCTGACTCTTGGTTGGAGGGGACCATGTGCCCAGTCATCTACTCAACTCACTTGCATAATTTTATTTTCCAAATATCGCCAAGTTCTCCCCACTCTAGAGGGCAGAAAGACATCCTAGACAACCCTAGGCCTTCTCTGGCTGCCTGGATCGGCACTCTGCTCCCTCCCCCCACCCCAGCCCTGTCCACTCTGCAGCCTAGGCTGCAAGCTCAGCCCCCCACATCCCTATCCCTGCCCCAGCTCCGAATCTGGATTCTGACTCACCCTGGGAATCATTAGGATCTTCCATGCTGCTCCCACTGTGTCCTGAACATGAGGCTGTATCCACAGGGCCCAGGTTTAAATAATGTCTCTAACTTATTGCTGTGCCCACCCAGGTCCACCCTACTGGGACACACCCTTTTCCACCCTACCCTGCAGTCAGTCTTTGCCCCCTGGAGGTGTTGAATGATTGATCAATCCTGTCATGGTTGAGCATCTATTGCGTGGGGTGGGGGAGGGGAGTGGTTTCTCTGGCATTGGACTCTAGCACACAGGGCTTGGGGGAGTCAGGACTGTTACCCATGGTTCATTTATGGGACTCATGAGCTTGGTTCACAGCAGTCCAGTCTCTGAGGTGCTTCTACTCTGTTGGACACTTGCTGCCTGCATGCCATGGCCTGCATGGGCTCAGGGGTCGAGGAAACTGGGATGATGCAATCAAATTCAGAATTAAATCAAATATAGATGTTGTTATCACAGGCCTAGTCATCATTTTCAACTGCTGCTTAGAGTTCTATTATGAAAAGTACCATATCCATCAACTTGCTTATCTCATATACTGTCACACTTTATGTGGAGCCATCGTGGTGACCACGAAAGCAATGTCCCTGCCTTCAAAGATTTTGCATTGTGGCTATTTATTGAGCCAATGAAGGCATAAATCAGACAAGCTTGCTGATAATAGTTTGTGAAAATATAAATTTGAATATAAGAAAGTTTATGGCAACATTATTCACAATAACCAAAAAGTAGAAACAACCAAAACATCCATCAACTGACTGATGGATGAACGCAATGCCATATATACACACGGTGGAATATGACCCAATCACAAACAGGAACACGCAACAAGATGGACAAACCTTAACCACATGACACTAAGTGGAGGAAGTTAGACATAAAAGGCCACATATTGTATGATTCCATTTATATGGAATGTCTGGAGAAGGCAAATCCACAGAGACAGAAAGTAGATTAGTGATGGCTAGGGGCTGGGGGGAGGGGAAAATTGGGACTTACTGATAATAACTATGAAGTTTCTCTTGGCGCGGTGGTGGAGGGTAAGAATGTTCCTAAATGAATTGTGTTGATTGATATTCAACTCTGCAAATATAGCAAAAAAAATCAAATTGTTGGCTGGGAAAGGTGGCTCAGGTCTGTACTCCTAGCACTATGGGAAGCCAAGATGGGTGGACTGCTTGAGCCCAGGAATTGGAGACCAGACTGAGCTAGAGTGAGACCCCATCTCTACTAAAAACAGTGAGTTGTTGTGGTCAGCGCCTGGAGTCCCAGCCACTTGGGAAAGTGAGGCTGAAAGGATCCCTTGAGCTCAGGAGTTTGAGGTTACTGTGAGCTATGATGCCACAGCATCCTACCCAGGGTGACAGAGTGAAACTCTGTCTCAAAAAAAAGAAAAACATCAAATTGTATACTTTAAGTGGGTTAATTTTATGTTTTGTGGATTGCTTATCAATACAAAATATAAAATTGGGTTGGTGGCTGGCACCTATAGTCCCAGCTACTTGGGAGGCTGAGAAAATGGGAGAATTGCTTGAGGCCAAGACTTTAGGCTACAGTGAGCTATGATTGTGCTACTGTACTCCAGGCTGGATGACAGAGGGAAGGCCATGTTTCCCTCTGTAAATACATACATACACACACACATATATATAATTTATTTATTTGTTTATTTAAATATATATATTTATATATAGAGTCAGAGTCTCACTTTATTGCCCTTGGTAGGGCATTCTTGATTCCTACATACATACATACATACATGTAATTTATTTATTTGTTTATTAAATATATATATATATTTATAGAGAGAGACAGAGTCTCACTTTCTTGCCCTTGGTAGAGTGCTGTGGCATCACAGCTCACAGTAACCTTCAACTCATGGGCTTAGGCGATTCTCTTGCCTCAGCCTCCCGAGTAGCTGGGACTATAGGCGCCCACCACAACGCCTGGCTATTTTTTTGTTGCAGTTTGGCCGGGGCTGGGTTTGAACCTGCCACGCTTGGTATATGGGGCTGGTGCCCTACTCACTAAGTCCCTGGAGCCGCCCTATAATTTATATATTTATATATAATTAAATACATATAATCCATTATGTTGCCTATTGGACTGACCAGGAAGAAAGATATGGACCACACACCTAGACCTGGGAAACACGGGGCTTCTCTTGCCTTCGATGGAGTGTAAGTTGGCAAAGTTTTAAAGATTTTCTGACACTGACTTGTTGGCCTCTATTAAAGGATACAATGTGTCTAGTACCTCTTGACTCAGTGCTTTTATTGTGAGAGATTTATCTTGGGACAGTACTGGACCCTGTGTGAATAAGCATAAATATTTATGGACTTCAGAGTAGTATTTATTTGAAATATGAATTAACCAAGCTAACTGATGAATGCATGTCCATGACTAAGAGGATGGTTAAATAATTTATGGCAACTTTAGATTATAGCCTGCTAATTCACAGTTAAAGGAATGAAAGGGTAAAGGTATTAGTAACAATGAATGATTTTTAGTGCATTTATTGTTTTATTTGCCTGGTGGCTTGCTGTTTTCCTTTTGCTAAAATAAATGTGTCTTGAACACAGAGATTCCGTTAGATTTTTTTCCTCCCTAATCCCCATGTCTGCAATGGGAAAAGCTCAAAGTTTATGGCTAATGATGTACTAAATGGTTGACTCTGCAATGCTGTCTCAGGCACATTATTTATTTATTTCAATTAATGTATACATTTAATAAGCATGGGCAAAACACATACATACACACATAATATGTTTAAATTAACAAAATAAAACACCCACCCTGAATTAATCACCTAGGGATTATGGGGAGGGTTGGTTTTTTCTTTTTCTTACTGCTTAATTTTATTTTTTAATTTATAAGCAGGAAAATAAGAAAAACGCCTAGCTTTGAATGCCATATTGGGACATGTGACACCCTCCACCTCCCAGAAGCCCCCTTTCCCCTCTGTTCTACTGACCCACCTTCTGGGTTGGATGGGACAGCTGGGGGTGTAGGAATCTTTGATGATTGCTCCTGGGGCTGCCCAGACAACCATCAAATTTCTATATTTAGATGGCTGGAAGGGAGGTCATGTGTGCTAAGAGGAAGGGGTTAATCCATTCATTTTTGATTCCCTCAGAGTAGAAACAAAGGTTGTCTCCCTGTCTGTTAATTCTTTTTTTTTTTTTTTTTTT